TTCCCACAAGGCACAGTACTGGCTCCCAGTGTTCCACAAGGCACAGTAGTAAGCATGGCTCCAGTGTTCCACAAGGCACAGTACTCGCTCCCAGTGTTCCACAAGGCACAGTACTCGCTCCCAGTGTTCCACAAGGCACAGTACTCGCTCCCAGTGTTCGACAAGGCACAGTACTGGCTCCCAGTGTTCCACAAGGCACAGTACTGGCTCTCAGTGTTCCACAAGGCACAGTACTTGCTCCCAGTGTTCCACAAGGCACAGTACTCGCTCTCAGTGTTCCACAAGGCACAGTACTCGTTACCAGTGTTCCACAAGGCACAGTACTGGCTCCCAGTGTTCCACAAGGCACAGAACTGGCTCCCAGTGTTCCACAAGGCACAGTACTGGCTCTCAGTGTTCCACAAGGCACAGTACTCGCTACCAGTGTTCCACAAGGCACAGTACTCGCTCCCAGTGTTCCACAAGGCACAGTACTGGCTCCCAGTGTTCCACAAGGCACAGTACTCGGCTCCAGTGTTCCACAAGGCACAGTACTGCTCCCAGTGTTCCACAAGGCACAGTACTTGCTCCCAGTGTTCCACAAGGCACAGTATCTGCTCCCAGTGTTCCTCAAGGCACAGTACTCGCTCCCAATGTTCCACAAGGCACAGTACTCGCTCCCAGTGTTCCACAAGGCACAGTACTTGCTCCCAGTGTTCCACAAGGCACAGTACTCGCTCCCAGTGTTCCACAAGGCACAGTACTCGCTCCCAGTGTTCCACAAGGCACAGTACTGCTCCCAGTGTTCCACAAGGCACAGTACTGGCTCTCAGTGTTCCACAAGGCACAGTACTCGCTCCCAGTGTTCCACAAGGCACAGTACTGGCTCCCAGTGTTCCACAAGGCACAGTACTGGCTCCCAGTGTTCCACAAGGCACAGTACTCGCTCCCATTGTTCCACAAGGCACAGTACTTGCTCCCAGTGTTCCACAAGGCACAGTACTGGCTCCCAGTGTTCCACAAGGCACAGTACTCGCTCCCAGTGTTCCACAAGGCACAGTACTCGCTCCCAGTGTTCCACAAGGCACAGTACTTGCTCCCACAAGACACAGTACTCGCTCCCAGTGTTCCACAAGGCACAGTACCCGCTCCCAGTGTTCCACAAGGCACAGTACTCGCTCCCAGTGTTCCTAAGGCACAGTACTGCCCAGTTTCACAAGGCATAGGCACAGTACTCGCTCCCAGTGTTCCACAAGGCACAGTACGTCGATCCTCCAAGATGCTATTCACAAGGACGTACTCGCTCCAGTGTTCCACAAGGCACAGTACTTGCTCCCAGTGTTCCACAAGGCACAGTACTGGCTCCCAGTGTTCCACAAGGCACAGTACTTGCTCCCAGTGTTCCACAAGGCACAGTACTTGATCCCAGTGTTCCACAAGGCACAGTACTCGCTCCCAGTGTTCCACAAGGCACAGTACTCGCTCCCAGTGTTCCACAAGGCACAGTACTGGCTCCCAGTGTTCCACAAGGCACAGTACTTGCTCCCAGTGTTCCACAAGGCACAGTACTTGCTCCCAGTGTTCCACAAGGCACAGTACTCGCTCCCAGTGTTCCACAAGGCACAGTACTGGCTCCCAGTGTTCCACAAGGCACAGTACTCGCTCCCATCCTGTTCCTCATCCTCATATCTGACATAGAGATGTAAGCCATAGAGCTCCGTGTCTTCCTTTGTGGATGACACCCAAATTGCCATGACAGTATGATCCATCGAAGACACTGTAAGGCTCCTGGCGGACATTAACCAAATCTTTAAATAGGTTGCAGAAAACAATATGAAGCTCGGTGAAGACAAATTTCAATTACTCCGCTATAGAAAACTTGAGAAAATTAGAGTGGAAAGCTAATGTGAAGGACCTGGGAGTGATAATGTCAGAGGATCTCACCTTCATCTGGTGGAAAAATGATGGGGATGATTTGTATTCACTGGAATACCCTGTTCAATTGCCTCCCAGCATACATAAGGGGGGATTACCAATAGACCCCTAACTGTCTACAAGAACCCTGATTGTCTACAAGACCCCTGGCTGTCTTCAAGACTCCTGGCTGTCTTTAAGTCTCCTGGTTGTCTTCAAGACCCCTGGTTGTCTTCAAGACCCCTGGCTGTCTTCAAGACCCCTGGCTGTCTTCAAGACCCCTGGTTGTCTTCAAGACCCCTGGTTGTCTTCAAGACCCCTGACTGTCTACAAGACCCCTAACTGTCTACAAGACCCCTGGTTGTCTTCAAGATCCCTGGCTGTCTTCAAGACCCCTGGCTGTCTTCAAGACCCCTGGTTGTCTTCAAGACCCCTGGTTGTCTTCAAGACCCCTTGTTGTCTTCAAGACCCCTGGTTGTCTTCAAGACCCCTGGCTGTCTTCAAGACCCCTGGTTGTCTTCAAGACCCCTGGTTGTCTTCAAGACCCCTGGTTGTCTTCAAGACCCCTGGTTGTCTTCAAGACCCTGGTTGTCTTCAAGACCCCTGGTTGTCTTCAAGACCCCTGGTTGTCTTCAAGACCCCTGGTTGTCTTCAAGACCCCTGATTGTCTACAAGACCCCTGGCTGTCTTCAAGACTCCTGGCTGTCTTTAAGTCTCCTGGTTGTCTTCAAGACCCCTGGTTGTCTTCAAGACCCTGGCTGTCTTCAAGACCCTGGCTGTCTCAAGACCCCTGGTTGTCTTCCAAGACCCCTGGTTGTCTTCAAGACCCCTGACTGTCTACAAGACCCCTAACTGCAACAAGACCCCTGGTTGTCTTCAAGATCCCTGGCTGTCTTCAAGACCCCTGGCTGTCTTCAAGACCCCTGGTTGTCTTCAAGACCCCTGGTTGTCTTCAAGACCCCTTGTTGTCTTCAAGACCCTGGTTGTCTTCAAGACCCCTGGCTGTCTTCAAGACCCCTGGTTGTCTTCAAGACCCCTGGTTGTCTTCAAGACCCTGGTTGTCTTCAAGACCCCTGGTTGTCTTCAAGACCCCTGGTTGTCTTCAAGACCCCTGGTTGTCTTCAAGACCCTGGTTGTCTTCAAGACCCTGGTTGTCTTCAAGACCCCTGGTTGTCTTCAAGACCCCTGGTTGTCTTCAAGACCCCTGGTTGTCTTCAAGACCCCTGGTTGTCTTCAAGACCCCTGGTTGTCTTCAAGACCCCTGGCTGTCTTCAAGACCCCTGGTTGTCTTCAAGAAGGTGCTGGACAGACACCTAAAGTCAGTACCTCATCAGCCGTGCTGTGGTTCGTACGTCGGTTTACGTTTGGCCAGCAGTAATTGTCTGGTTGATCAGATACTGATCCACCACGAGGCCTGGTCTCAGACCTGGCCGCGGGGGCGTCGACTCCAGAAACCACTCCAGATTCATAGTATTGTGGGTTAGTGTTTGACTTAGTAACTACTCTAGTTAATCACAAATCAACTTTACTGTCAGTAAAATATCTGGGAATCCCCTTTGACCCATGCATGTCAGGAGAATTGATAGGAAACAGTGTAGTAAAGAAAGCGAATGCCAGACTGAAGTTCCTGTATAGACAAGCACAGTGTCTACCTACTGAGGCTCGCAGGACCCTATGTCTAGCCCTTATACAATGCCATATGGATTACGCTTGCTCTTCTTGGTACTCTGCCTTGACAAAAAAAACTGAAAGATAGACTGCAAATCACCCAGAACAAAATCGTAAGATTCATCCTGGGGCTGGGACCAAGAGAACATGTAGGCCAGGATGAATTACAGCAGTTGGATATGCTGAATGTTGAAGACAGAGTAAAAAAACTGAAGCTAAATCATGTTTATAAAATTGCTCACGAACAGTGTCCAGAATATCTTGCTGTCAATTTTGTCAAGGTTGGGAACCAAAACAATCATAGTACTAGGGGGAGAGAACACAACTTTGTAGTACCCAGTCATTGGTCAGGCTTCAAACACCTTTCATTGCACAGTAATAAAGGAATGGAACAGACTGCCCACACATGTCAAAGCCAGTCATAGCATGAACCAGTTCAAGAAGAGTGCCAAAAGGTGTCTGATGAATGTAGCTACAGAAAGGGAGGGGAATGATTTTCTATTTTTTAGCTAACACTGTCAATGTATTACAACATTCTGTATGGCCCATAAACGGTAATGAGATACATGTAATGACCGCTCGTGTATGTCTTAATGACCCCGTGTAGTAATAGCTTATGACCCTACGTTAAGAAGATAGTCTAAATGACCCTCGTGATGTAGTATATCTATAAATGACCCCGGTGTAATGATATCTTAATACCCTCTTGTGATAGTCTTAATGACCCTCGTGTAGTAGATAGTCTTATGACCCTACGTGTATAGATATCCTTAATGACCCTCGTATTGTAGATAGTCTTAATGACCCTCTTTGTATATAGTCTTTTTAGTATATAATAAGATGTTATCTTCATTATAGATAATAAGAAAATATTATAACCTTATATATTATAATAATAAGGTAAAAGGACCCCAATGGAAATAAGTCACTGTGTCTGACTTTTTTGGGTTATCCCAGGTTCTCTACACATATGCTGCTATGTTATCCCAGGTTCTCTACACATATGCTGCTATGTTATCCCAGGTTCTCTACACATACCCTGCTATGTTATCCCAGGTTCTCTACACATATGCTGCTATGTTATCCCAGGTTCTCTACACATATGCTGCTATGTTATCCCAGGTTCTCTACACATATGCTGCTATGTTATCCCAGGTTCTCTACACATATGCTGCTATGTTATCCCAGGTTCTCTACACATATGCTGCTATGTTATCCCAGGTTCTCTACACATATGCTGCTATGTTATCCCAGGTTCTCTACACATATGCTGCTATGTATGATAATTCTATGTAACTGTATTTGTGTATACCTTAATAAACTTACTTACTTACTTACTTACTTACTTACTTAACTTACTTACTAACCTTCTATCTTTATTGTGTCCATCAACTTCAGAAAGCAGCAGAAATTAGCACAAAAGAAAGTATAAATCTTACCAGTGGACGGAGGTACCATTGTGTGACCCATCTTGTTGACACACAGTTCCTTGGCGTGACCAAATACCCTGGTACCACCTGCAGTGCCACCTGCATTGCCACCTGCAGTGCCACCTACAGTGCCACCTACAGTGCCGTTGATGGAGGTATCTGCAACTCTGTCCATCATGCAAGGTTGCTGAGACTCGTCCAGAGAGAAGCTACCTTCTAGGATCTGTTAAGTTTGTTCCAACAACGACTGTTGCAAGTACAATACTTTCTCTTGTTCCACTGTGATAAAACTTTCTCTTGTTCCACTGTGATAAAACTTTCTCTTGTTCCACTGTGATAAAACTTTCTCTTGTTCCACTGTGATAACTTTCTATTTTAATGAAAGTTTCCTCTTGTCAATGATAACTTTCTCTGGTCAATGATAACTTTCTCTGGTCAATGATAACTTTCTCTGGTCAATGATAACTTTCTCTGGTCAATGATAACTTTCTCTGGTCAATGATAACTTTCTCTGGTCAATGATAACTTTCTCTGGTCAATGATAACTTTCTCTGGTCAATGATAACTTTCTCTGGTCAATGATAACTTTCTCTGGTCAATGATAACTTTCTCTGGTCAATGATAACTTTCTCTGGTCAATGATAACTTTCTCTGGTCAATGATAACTTTCTCTGTCAATGATAACTTTCTCTGGTCAATGATAACTTTCTCTGGTCAATGATAACTTTCTCTGGTCAATGATAACTTTCTCTGGTCAATGATAACTTTCTCTGGTCAATGATAACTTTCTCTGGTCAATGATAACTTTCTCTGGTCAATGATAACTTTCTCTGGTCAATGATAACTTTCTCTGGTCACTGATAACTTTCTCTCGTCACTGATAACTTTCTCTCGTCACTGATAACTTTCTCTCGTCACTGATAACTTTCTCTCGTCACTGATAACTTTCTCTCGTCACTGATAACTTTCTCTGGTCACTGATAACTTTCTCTGGTCACTGATAACTTTCTCTGGTCACTGATAACTTTCTCTGGTCACTGATAACTTTCTCTGGTCACTGATAACTTTCTCTCGTCACTGATAACTTTCTCTCGTCACTGATAACTTTCTCTGGTCACTGATAACTTTCTCTGGTCACTGATAACTTTCTCTGGTCACTGATAACTTTCTCTGGTCACTGATAACTTTCTCTGGTCACTGATAACTTTCTCTGGTCACTGATAAATTCCTATTGTTACAGATAACTCTCTCTTGTCATTGATAACTTTCTCTTATCACTGATAACTTTCCCATGTCATCGATATCTTTCTCAGGTCACTCATAACTTTCTCTTGTCCTCGATAACTTTCTCAGGTCACTGATAACTTTCTCTTGTTATATTGTCACTGATAACTATTTCTGGTAACTGATAACTTTCTCTTGGTACTGATAACTTTCTTTTGTTACTGATAACTTTCTCTTGTTACTAGTAACTTTCTCTTGTTGATAACTTTCTCTTGTTACTGATAACTTTCTCTTGTTGATAACTTTCTCTTGTTACTGGTAACTTTCTCTTGTTGATAACTTTCTCTTGTTACTGGTAACTTTCTCTTGCTAACTTTCTCTTGTTACTGATAACTTTCTATTATTAATAATAACTTTCTCTTGTTACTGATAACTTTCTATTATTAATAATAACTTTCTCTTGTTACTGATAACTTTCTATTATTAATAATAACTTTCTCTTGTTACTGATAACTTTCTATTATTAATAATAACTTTCTCTTGTTATTGATAACTTTCTATTATTAATAATAACTTTCTCTTGTTACTGATAACTTTCTATTATTAATAATAACTTTCTCTTGTTATTGATAACTTTCTATTATATAATAACTCTGTATAACTTTCTCTTGTTACTGATAACTTTCTCTTGTTACTGATAACTTTCTTGTTATTGATAATTTTCTCTAGTTACTGATAACTTTCTCTTGTTATAGTTGTTCTTGTCTTCCATCACTCTTTGCCTGTTATAAAAGTATAGGTGATCATGAGCATTATGAACATTATGAACAATATGAACATTATGAACAATATGAACATATGAACATTTGAACATATATGAACATTATGAACATTATGAACAATATGAACATTATGAACAATATGAACATTATGAACATGAACATTATGATTATGAACAATATGAACATGAACATTATGATTATGAACAACACGAACAATATGAACAATATGAACATTATGAACAATATGAACATTATGAACATTATGAATGAACAATTGATTTTGAACAATATGAACATTATGAACATATGAACAAAATTATGATTATGAACAATATGAACATGATCATGAATATTATGAACAATATGAACATTATGAACATATGACATGAACAATTATGAACATTATGAACAATATGAACATTATGAACATTATGAACATGAACATTATGATTATGAACAATATGAAATATATGAACATTATGAACATGAACATTATGATTATGAACAATATGAACAATATGAATATTATGAACAATATGAACATTATGAACATTATGAACATGAACATTATGATTATGAACAATAAGAACAATATGAACATTATGAACAATTGAACATTATGAACATTATGAACATTATGATTATGAACAATATGAACAATATGAACATTATGAACATTATGAACATTATGAACATGAACATTATGATTATGAACAATATGAACAATATGAACATTATGAACATGAACATTATGATTATGAACAATATAAACAATATGAACATTATGAACAATATGAACATTATGAACATTATGAACATTATGATTATGAACAATATGAACAATATGAACATTATGAACACTATGAACATTATGAACATGAACATTATGATTATGAACAATATGGACAATATGAACATTATGAATATGAACATTATGAACATTATGAACATTATCAACAATATGAACATTATGAACATTATGAACAATATGATTATGAACATTATGAACATTATGAACAATATGAACATTATGAACACTATGAACATTATGAACAATATGAACAATATGAGCATTACATTATGAACAATATGATTATGAACATTATGAACATTATGAACATTATGAACATTATGAACATTATGAACAATATGAACATTATGAACATGAATATGAACATTATGAACATTGTGAACATTATGAACAATATGAACATTATGAACATTATGAACAATATGAAACATATGAACATATGATATGAACAATTATGAACATTATGAAATATGAACATTATGAACATTATGAACAATATGAACATTATGAACACTATGAACATTATGAACAATATGAACATTATGAACAATATGAACATTATGAACAATATGATTATGAACAATATGAACATTATGAACATTATGAACAATATGAACATTATGAACAATATGAACATTATGAGCATTATGAATATGAACATTATGAATATGAACATTATGAAGATTGTGAACATTATGAACATTATGAACAATATGAACATTATGAACATTATGAACAATACGAACATTATGAACATTATGAAAATGAACATTATGAACATTATGAACAATATGAACACTATGAACATTATGAACATTATGAACAATATGAACACTGAACATTATGAACAATATGAACATTATGAACATTATGAAGAATATGAACACTATGAACATTATGAACAATATGAACAATATGAAAATTATGAATATGAACATTATGAACAATATGATTATGAACAATATGAACATTATGAACATTATGAACATTATGAACAATATGAACATTATGAACAATATGAACAATATGACATTATGAACAACATGAACATTATGAACAATATGAACATTATGAACATTATGAACAATATGAACATTATGAACAATATGAACATTATGAACAATATGAACATTATGAACAATATGAACATGTGAACATATTGACAATGAACATTAGAACAATTCTGATAACATATGATTATGAACAATATGAACATTAACATTATGAACAAGTATGACATTATGAACATTGATTATGAACATTATGAACAATTATGAATTATGACAATATGAACATTATGAACAAATGAACATTATGAACAATATGAATTAACATTAGAACAATTATGAACAATGAACATTATGAACATTATGTAAACAATTATGAACAATATGCACAATATGAACATATGACATTATGAACAAAGAAAATTACTGACAATATGAACATTATGAAACAATTAATGTGAAACATGTTATGAGCAAATATGATACATTATGAATCATATAGAACGATTATGAACCATATGCAAGACATGTAAGAACACTGATCAATGTCAGCAGATATTTATGTAACTAGAACTGTTATGTCAAAAGACACGTTCACTGTGAAGACACTGTTCACTGTCAGCAAGACACTGTTCAGTGTCAGCAAGACACTGTTCATGTCAGCAAGCACATGTTCACTGTCAGCAAGACACTGTTTCATGTCAGCAAGTGACACACTGTCATGTCAGCATAGACACTGTTCATGTCAGCAAGACACTGTTCAGTGTCAGCTAGACACTGTTCAGTGTCAGCAAGATACTGTTCACTGTAAGCTAGACACTGTTCAGTGTCAGCAAGACACTGTTCACTGTCAGCAAGACACTGTTCACTGTGAGCTAGACACTGTTCAGTGTCAGCCAAACACTGTTCAGTGTCAGCATGACACTGTTCACTGTCAGCTAGACACTGTTCAGTGTCAGCAAGACACTGTTCAGTGTTAGCATGACACTGTTCACTGTCAGCAAGACACTGTTCAGTGTCAGCAAGACACTGTTCACTGTCAGCTAGACACTGTTCACTGTCAACTAGACACTGTTCAGTGTCAGCAAGATACTGTTCACCGTCAGCAAGACATTGCTCACTGTCAGCAAGACACTGTTCACTGTCAGCTAGACACTGTTCAGTGTCAGCAAGACACTGTTCACTGTCAGCTAGACACTGTTCAGTGTCAGCAAGATACTGTTTACTGTCAGCTAGACACTGTTCACTGTCAGCAAGACACTGTTCACTGTCAGCAAGACACTGTTCAATGTCAGCAAGACACTGTTCAGTGTCAGCTAGACACTGTTCAGTGTCAGCAAGACACTGTTCAGTGTCAGCAAGACACTGTTCACTGTCAGCTAGACACTGTTCAGTGTCAGCAAGACACTGCTCAGTGTTAGCATGACACTGTTCACTGTCAGCAAGACACTGTTCAGTGTCAGCAAGAAACTGTTCACTGTCATCTAGACACTGTTCACTGTCAGAAAGACACTGTTCACTGTCAGCAAGACACTGTTCAGTGTCAGCAAGGCACTGATCAGTGTCAGCAAGACACTGTTCACTGTCAGCAAGACACTGTTCAGTGTCAGCAAGACACTGTTCAGTGTCAGCAAGTCACTGTTCAGTGTCAGCTACACACTGTTCAGT